TTATTTGTGGTTGTGTGACTATTTCAGTTTGGGGTATTGGGTGATTGTGAGTCTGAAAATTATTGAACTTCATTCAAATGTAACATGCATGCATTTTTTTCCATGTGAAAACTAAAGACGCAGTTTATCAAACGAAATAAAAGCATGAAATGAACCACTCGTTTTACCTTGGACAGTAGAAGTATGAAGCTTATTTACAGAATATGACGAGTTGACTCGTTTGACGGTGAAGTCGATCCACACAGAAATTGAGTCGTGTACTACGATTTTCCACACGAGTCCAATTAAATTTCTGTATTATTAGAATTATTTAAATCAAAAATTAAATTGGACAATAATTAATCAATTAATTAAATGGCCTATTAGTTTGGCTTATCTACTTATGTTTCATGTTTGGCCACACTTACATTACAATAGGGCTCAAAACGTATAATGAATTAATCAACTGGCCTATTTTGAGATTTTTACCTATCTTTCTAATATTTAAATTAAACCCCAAAATACACGCATATATTGTGCAAATAGGTAATTATATAATTATTTTAAGTATATTGTGCTCACAGCTTCACACATTTCTTCTTCATTGTTTCGTGTCTATTCTCTGTTTCTTACTTTTAATACGAGTTTTGTTTCATTATATTATTTTTATACCAGAAAATTCCTCGTTTATTGCTTGGATTTCAGATACCAACTTGACATTTATTATTTATTCTTTAAAAGATGCTAAAAAAGATAAATTGTCATTTCTATCTTAAACGAAACGAGTTGCTCTTGAGCTTGATTCGACTCTTTTGATCAATGAGCCAAGTTCGAGCTCGTTGAAAGCCCATTTAGTTAACGAATCACGCTTATTAAAGTTCAAAAATAAGAATTTTGTATAACTTTTTATAGTTCTGCATGTTAGGACTCAAGTTCAACTCGTTAATGCTGAAACTCAATTCGTTAATATTGATAAACGAGTCGAGCTAGAATTAGATTAATGTATCATTTAGTCTCGGCTCGTTAAAGGCTCGGTTCAACTCGTTTGCATTTCTAACCAAAATATTTTGTTACTCATGCGCTCTCACACATTTAGCCCGACGATTAATTATTTGTGGCCCCAAATACAAGAACAAATTCTCCAATAATCTCTAAAATTAATAAGGAATATAAATTAGAGGGGGGGAAAGAAAGGATCAAACCGTGTGATTTGTAAAAGCTTTATTTCGTCAGGGAAAAAAAGAACAAAAACAGGAATACATGCTTTAGCTCACTAATTGAAGCCACTAAAAGTGATTAAAAGGGGGTTATAAAGCAATTGGGATTAGATTATGAAACAAAAGTGAGAATGATTGGGATTAGATTATTAAACAAAGCTTAGAATGCGTAGGTACAATCGTGCATACACATGGCTACAAAACCAAAATAGTAACATAAACACACAAGCACTAAAAGAAAAAAAAATAAAAAAAAAAATAATAACAATGACCTACAATTACAACATGATTAGTCCAACTGAAAAGAGAAATTCGGCAAAAAAAAATAAATGAAAAGAAAAAAAAAAAATCATATCCATGAATGAACTAGACAATGAGTTGAAAAGAATATTAAAAGAAAAAAAAGAATGTGATGAAATACTTTTGTGATAATATACTTTAATCACCCCATTTTAAGGCTATTGCAGTTAGAATAAGAATGGTATATTACTCAAACTGCCATTTTGCTAACTAACATCTTTTTGATAAAATATATAAACCCTAAGGTAAGCACTCAATGATTGTTAAAGAACAAAACAATATTAAACCACAATAGGCCCTTTTTTTTTCAGTTTTTATATACTAATGAATTAAACCATGTCATGCCATGATGATACATTTTGCTTAAAAAAATTATCTTTTATGATATAGAAATTCTCATGTGAGGCGACCCGATAGTTAAGCAGGTCGATCACATCATATACTTTGTTAAAAAAATTACATCGTTATGTTATAAAACGTCATTTTCTTATTTGCCCTTTTTTATATTTAAAATATGATATTTCAGTTTGATAATATACATACCTTTTGAAAAAATTATAATTGTCTAACAGTTTAGACCTTCCTAACAATAGCCTTATTACAAACATATAAAGGTTAAATAGGTAGTGAAAATGCAATACAAGACCACACAAACAAGTAAAAAAAGAGTAAAGACATAAAGAAACCATGTTTTAAGGGGATGATCCATTTGATCAAGTAAATTCAAGTAGTTCTTACAAATCCATTCAAAGTCATTTTCCCACCTATAAATAACAAGAATTTCTGCACAACTTCACCTAAAGGGAAAAAGAACAAAAAAACCCAAGTCACGAAAGACACGATTTTTCGTAACATTTTTGCTGTTCCACTCTTTGAAGATACAACGATAATTCGACCAAATCAACAGTCTTTGAACCTGTCGAACACAAATAGCTCTTTTGGGAGATCTCATTTAGTTCCCGATTATTTTGAGACGGATCAAAAACCATGGAGGAAGTGAAGTTTTCGGACATTGGATTGGTAAGTAATAAATCGTGTGATTGTGATGACAGAAGAGAGAGAACACAGCTGGAGTTTGTCGAACCCACAGATGACTCTTGATGAACCTGTAATAATCGGGTGGTTTTAAGGGCGTGTTTGGATGGGGACCCTTTTTCCTCGAAATGGGAAAACGGGACACGAGTCGAAGGATTTTTGTTGTTATTACACTGTGGATAATAGAAGTTGTCGTTAAGGATATTCGGGAAAATAGAGGAGGTCTTTGATGATGCATTTGTCTGAAAGTATGAGGAACCTGCAATATGAATAAATGTTTCAACTTTCAACTCTTGTGCTTAGATAAAAAGTTTCTGCAAAATATCTAAAGAAAATGTGATTATCCTAAGCTTCTAATGAAGTTTTTCCGATTTTTCGATTTTACAATTTATTCAACAGTGAACCAAATACAATCTTGATCAACAGTAGGAAATCAAAATACAATCTTGATCGAGAGAAGGCTTATTGTCAAATAAAATGAATAATACTTATCCTTTTCATCAAAAAGGCCAAATAAGAAAAAAAAAATAGTAATAATAATGCCAAAATAAAATGTGCAGCTCACCAAAGTAAGATTCGAACTGAGGCTTTCTTCGGCGCTCGTTATGGCCAGCAAGTCGTTTACGACAGCTACGCTTCCCTTCATCAAACTCCGATAGCGAGTGAAATCTTTAAAAAATACAAATGGTCAATAGAGTTCATGAAGTAAATACAAATAGGTAACAAGCATTGGTAACAAGCATTATTCAGATGAGGTATTTGCTCATATAGGGTGATAACAAAAATTAAAACAGATGCAGATTATTAGCAAAATGGAAAACAATTATTGTTTTTTTTTTTAATGACACCTGATACAATCAAGAAAACACCCCTATTGCTATGTCTAGTCACAGAAAACTCAGCTGTCTTTCTAACCTACTAAATAAAATCACTCAATGATATTTGAATCTACTAATGACAAACAAAAATCACTCAAAGTGTTAATCTTTGTTTCAATCACAAATAAGCAATTTAGACAAATCCATAGGGTTCGCTTTCGCCATTAACCCTTGATCTCAATTTCACAAGTCCTGTCCTCAATTTCAAATATCTGTTAAAGACTAAGCAAATAATCCCACCCACCAAACATTCAACTATTAGAAACATGATTGTTAATATAAAAAAAAAAAAAAAAAAAANAAAGATTATGTACCGGCTGCATTGCTGACAGAACCTTTGCTGTTTGCCATTTACAATAACCATAGCCATTTTCGAGTGAACATCACACACTTTGTGCCTCTTGTGGTAATCCTTTGAGGAACTCAAGTCCTTGTTGCACCCGAGGACTCGACAAATCGGTGCTGATAAGGGCATATTAGTAATTTTCGCTCTTTTTGCCGGTAGAGAGGGCTCGGGAACTGTCTTCACCGCATTACAACAACTACTATTCGTGCTCATGTAAGAAATTTCTAGGCTTTCGTGACCAATAGGTAAAAACTTTCTAGTCATTTCGGGCAAACTATGTTCTAAAAATTGATGAGTGCTATTATCGACTATAGTACTCATATGAACAAAAAGGGATTGTTCATCCGGGTTTTGAAATGGGGTTTTGCTCGTGAGATTGTCGAGCTGAAAATCGGTGTGATCTGTGAACGGCAGCCTTCTCTCCTCAAAAGCATAGCTTAAAGACTCCATTTTTATTTATGGGTTTACTTTCTTGATCAATCAAAATTGCTTGTAGACCAAATACACTTTCAAGTTTCAACTCTGCTGTTAGGAAAAACGAATGAAAAGAAATTATCAGACGATCAAGAATTTATGGGACAAGGCAATAAGTCAATAACATTAAATGAGATCAAAGATTTTCAAGATTTCAAAGATTTTTAAGATTTCCTAAAATTGTCAAATAAATTTTTTTGATCTAGTGAGAGGAATCTAAATATCGGCCTCTGTACAAAGCACAGATAAAAAACCCCACATATATTTAACGGTCAGCACAGAAACTCCACACAAACCAAGAGTAAAAGATTCACTCAAATTAAAAAAACCCACAAAATCAAGAACAAGATTACAAAAAGCAGCGAACAAGCGCAGCTGGTTTAATTCAAAACCTCCTCAAAGAACACACCCAATAATTCAAAAATCTAAAGAGAGAGAAATCAATCGCAGCAAACAAGCAAAACCAGGCAAAATACAAGAACTAATAAGAAGGCAAACAGCGATCAAGAAACTAACAGAACATGCCCATTACAGCCCAACAGAAAAGATTTCATCTTGAAAGACAACAATTGCTGAACAGAATGAAAATATCTCTTTAATTTTTTCAACGCTTTACCTGGTGAACAGTGAAGAGAAATGTTGAGAAAGCGAGTGGTGTAAAATGATACAGTGGAGAATGTGTCAAGTGGGGTTTGTTATTATTATTATTATTTTCCTCTCCTTATTTAAAAGTGGTGATGACCATATCCATATAGTGATGACTGATGAGAGTCGACATCCTTCCTCTCCCATCATACCCCACTTGTAGAAAAAAGACAAAGTGTGTCAAGTGGTCGTTTTTACCAAGGTTATGAAAACTAGTCGGACGTTGAAGCTATTTTCATTCACAAGTGGACATACCCATTTATTTAATATATTTTTTTATTTTTTATTTTTATATGTATAATATGTAATTTTATATATTTTTATCATCAATTTTATTGTGTGTAATGACACTTCTCTAAATAAGAGTTCAAAATAGATACAACCAACAATGTTAAATATTGTTAATAACTATTTTTTTCAAAAAAAAAAAAGAAATTATTTTCTATGTATTAAATTTTAATATATATTTAAGTTACAAAATAGAGAGAATAGATACAAGTAGGTTTGCATTTAATTTAAAATCAAATTTTATTTTTTTTTATTTTTGATTAAAAAATAAAAAATAAATTATGTGCATAACAATAAATTTGTGAATTTATTCGATTAACATTTTTCAATGAGTTCAGTTTTGTGCAACGAAGTTTTGGCCCAATCTCATTCATTAAAAGAAAGGGAAATTTTTATCTCTCCTACACGTTCCTACAAAAATTACAACTCTACTACACACATGCAATTAATTGTGACTTTGTCTAAAAAATAATATTTACCTACATTAATGCATAATGGCAGTTATCAATTAATTCTAACCACTCTCCACGTGCATTTAATCTGCCCGATTCAGTTACCATATCAATTCAACTTTCTCTCCCTTCTTTTGCCCGTGATTTGCGTCAATTTGTTATAAAATGCTTTTTGAATTTTATTCTGAAAAAAGTTACGCAAATACCACAAAAAAAAAGTTGAGATTGGGAGAAAATATACCATCATATACGCAACCCGTAATGAGATTATGGGAAAATATACCGAAAATATACTGAATATAAACCATACATATAACGGGGGAAGCGATACAAACACGATACAATATATACTGCAAAAAAACGTGAAAGGACGTTAAACGTGAGGTATATTTTGTGATTTTAATGTTCATTCAACTGTACATGATCCTGATTTTACCGGAAATATACCGAAAAAAATGAGGACGTGGAATTTTATAAAGAAAAAAAAACGATTTTGGACAAACTCTGTCAGTGGAGATGACAATCGCGAGCAGGGATCCGAGATTTCAGTTCACAGATGAGGCCGAGGCCGTCAAGAGCGACGACGACCACGGCGGAGGCGGCGGTGTAGCAGACGACGTCGTATAAGTCGTCATAGCAGGCGGAGGCGGAGGCGGGGGTGCATCCAAGAGGAGAAGACGAGGTCGGAAGGGTCGGATTTGATGCCTTTTCTGAACTCGAGAATTGATCGGACCTCTTCGCAGGAGGCGGATGCAGGCATTGGAGGACGAGGAGGAAGAAGGTGAGGGTGAGAGTCATCGGCGGAAGTTTTTTGCTATCATTATCTCTGCTAGAGAGAGAGAGAGAGTTGTTGGATACGTTTTTCCCTAATTTATAAAGTCCAATTAAATCTCCCTAGTGGAATTTTAAAAATGTATTAAAATAATATTTAAATAAAATAATTAAAATTGATTTGATGTAAAAGTAGAAGATAAATGATTGAAAATGATAGGTAGTTAAAATTATGTGAATGGATTAATAGTGAATTAAAGTTGATGTGATGTGTAAGAATGATTGGTTTGTATAATTTAATTATATGAATAATATTAAAGATTGAGCTCACGTGCTCGATCAAGCATGTTCGCTCCTGAGTCCTACTAATCTTGAGTTACTAAAACTAAATTTTGAGCTACGAAAACTAAGGGCGTGATTGGATATTAATTTAACTAGTAAAAAACTAATTTTTTCTTAACTATAGTTAAGTTTAAAAAAAGGTGGCCATAGTTAGTTGTTAGCGGATATGTTAAAATAATATTTAAAATAAAATAATTAAAGTTGATTTGATATAAAAGTAGGAGAAAATGATTGGAAGTGATGGTTAGTTAAAATTATGTGAGTGGATGAATAGTGAATTAAAGTTGATGTAATGTGTAAGAATGATTGGTTGATATTATTTAATTATATCAATAATATTGGAGATAGTGGAGTTGAGTTAAATTTTCAATCATACTAAAAATGATTTTTGAGATTTTTCCAAATTAGAAATATTTTCTACTACACTTTAGAATATGTACGACAGTGATGCTTGGATACAAATTTATCCAAAAACATACAATCATTTTTAACTCAATCATTTTTTTAACTCAACTCTAACTCAACCCTACTGTCATCAATATTATCAATATAATTAAATAATATCAACCAATCATTCTTATACATCACATCAATTTTAATTCACTATTCATCTACTCACATAATTTTAACTAACCATCAGTTCAAACCATCTATCTCCTACTTTTACATCAAATCAACTTTAATTATTTTATTTTAAATATTATTTTAATATACCTACTAAAAACTAACCATACCAACTTTTTCAAAATTAACCAAACCAAATCAAAAATCCAAACAAATCTAAATTTTTTTATATCCAAGCATCCTCCGCAAGAAATGGAAATTAAGGTAAACTTTATAGAAAACTAATTTTGCTTAAAAAAGAAATAGCATTATTGTAATTTAAATTTGAATTTTATCCTTTTCTCATTCATTAAAATCTCATGAAGTAGTTTATAACTTTATATGTGACAAAATACAAATATTATCAAAATAAGTTATTAATATTATTCTGTTACTGTAAAAAACAAATGTTCAAATTGAAATTGTTCGAAAAGCAAATTGGGACATATTTCGTTTTATCATTAAGAGCATCTCCAATGCTCCACTTTCTACATTAATTAAATGTGAACACATGTCAAATGATGAATGGATTGTAAATCCATGTAATATGAATGTCAAAAGAGAAGACTTTAATTTAGAATGCACATCTCCAATGCATCCCTTTCAAAAACTTAAAATAAGTTAGATTTTTTATGAGTTGACTTTCAAACACACTTTGAAAAATTAGAAAGTGGGCTTCACACTTTGAATATTTATTTTCTCCATGTCAGCATAAAAGAGTCCATAACATTATGGATTGGAGAATAATTTTTGTAATCACTTTATAACTTGATGATGTGGCTAACATTTTATTAAGTCAACATCTCACATTGGAAATGCTCTAATATTTTGTTGGTCATCCAAAGTCTTTGATAAAGGCGCTATACAATTGACTATAGCTTAAATGGAACGTTGTTTTCTTTATATATATTTGACACAATAATGTTAAGGAGTCAACTGTTAGCTCCGTTATGAAGCCAACAGCTAATGAGACAGCTTCATGGACTATTTTAAAAGCTGCCTAAAACGTTACTTCTATTAACTTTTCAGCTATATTAATTTGACTTACATGCTACATATACCACTATTTTTTGTGCTTATTTAAAGGTATATTTTTGCACATTTTTACGTATTAATGCGCACAATATCATCTATGGCATATTGGGTGTTTATTAGACATTTCATAAGATTAAAATTCATTATATATAGGTTCGTCTTATATCGATACAATAAAAGATCGGGATTTTAAATTAATATATATAAATATATATTTATATTTATGGGTTAGTTCAAATAAAAACTAATTCTGATGTGGGAACCGTGAAAAACGTATTTGATGGTATTTTTAATATTACATGATGCCATCAGCTGGTCCTGAGTAGCACAACCGTTAACAACACCTTGTACTCGATCATTCGTTCATGTTTCGTCAGAGTTGGTCGATTTCATCTTTCGTCGATGTTCGTCGGGTCAGTCTTTTACCATAGTTTGTCGTGTCCGTCTTTCGCCGGAGTTCGTTGCGTCCATCTTTCGCCGTTGTTCGCTCTGTACGTCTTTTATCGACATTTGTCACATTCGTCTTTTGGAGGATCTTGTTGAGTTGACCGTCTTTCGCCGGTGTTCATCGTGTCTATCTTTCGCCAGAGTTCGCTGTGTCTGTGTTTCGTTCGAGTATGTCACATCCATCTTTCACTGGCGTTCGTCGCATCCATCTTACACCGGAATTCATCAGACATCCTCAAAAAATAGAGAAAAAAAAACGGGAGAGGAAAGGTAGAAGAGCAGAGCTGGCCCTGGGGCAGGGCCAGCGGGGCGGCCGCCTTTTAAGGGCCCAAAAATCTTGAGGGCACCAATTATTAGAATGTTTTAAAGGAAATTAAAAAAAAAAAGCATTTAAGTATAATTTGTTATTAAAATGAGTTAATTTTTTCCTTAATTTTTACATAATTAAATATAGTTTTCTTTTTTATGTGAAGTTCTAATGATGATATTAATTTATAATAATTGATTATTAACTTATATTTTTTTTATATATATTTTGTTTTCTTATTTTGTCATTCGATCGATAAAAATATTTTTTAACTTCTTACTTGAATATGTAAAATTTTACTTGTGTGCATATAATTCAAATCATATAAGTGATAGTCATTATAGGGCATCGAGTTATCTATTATAAAAGTGAGTTCATTTGTTGTTTATTTGGTTATTATATATATTTTAAAAACTAATATTAGTATTTTTGCAACAAAAGAGTTGACTATTCGAGATTACAATAAAATTAAACATATGGTTAATGTGAAAAGGACTTTAAAACATTGTTTTATTTTGTCGTCTTTTTTCTTATACAAGGACTGAACATGATTTATTCCTTTACTTATTGTCAATTTTTTTTAATAAAATTTTACACTTTTGTTATAATCTTCATTATTTTTTCTTTTGTAATATGATAAATTGTTTATGATTTTTTTTAATAAAAATAATATGGGCATTATTTATTCATTTGGCCCAAGGCCTACAAATTTTCAGGACTGGCTAGAAGAGAAAAGAAGAAAGTGAAAGAAATGATTAAAAAAATTTAAAAATGGATAATTGTTATGTGAATTGATTATGATGATTTTTTGTTT